CTGGATAACCAGCATTTCCACACCTCAAATTCCTTAATCATAAAATTAGAACTTCAGTCTAAAAAGGGGGTTCTCTGAGCCAATTTCAAAAGGACACATGCTGTGTCATGCAATTTATACAGCATTCTTGAAATGATAAAATTACAGAGCTGGAACAGCAATCCCAACCTTTTTGGCTCCAGGGATTGGTTATTTTAACCCAGCCCGTGGGGTTGGGGGTGAGGTGGATGGACAGGAGACGGAATTCTGGTGGTGATGCATGAGACCCAGTTCCTAACAGGCCATGGCCTGGTACAGGTCCACAGTCCAGAGGCTGGGAACCACAGAGCTGGGGAACAGATAAGGGCTACCAGGTGACAGGTGGGTGTGACTACAGTGGGTTACAAGGAAGCCTCATGCTGCTTTCTAAGCATGGTGCTGGCTACATGCAGTTTCAGGTGAGTCACAAACTGACAGCCAGCCACATGTGCTCTCTCAAGGACAATGCCTGATTTTGCTGTTGGCTATAGTTGTATCAGCTGTAACCACTGGGGGAGACTGGGCAAGTTATTTTGAAATGTGAAACTTTATTTTTTTAAGTGTTTATTTTAGACTTTGAGCTGCCAGGCCCTACACTCTGTAATTCAAAATATTTTATCAAAAATATTCAAAATATTTTATCTAGTAAATTGCATTTATTAAGATAGTTCCTTGGTTTGTATGTACTAATAAAAAATAAACAGTTGATGCTTGAACAAGTTGGGTTTGAACTATGTGTGTCCACTTACACACACACTTTCTCCCATTTCCGCCACCCCAGAATGAAAGACCAACCTCCTCTTCCTCCATCTGCTCAATGAGAAAAGGACAAGGATACAGACCATACAGACTTTTGATGACCCATTTAATGAACAGTAATGTATTTTCTCTTCTTTATTGTTTCCTTAATAACATTTTATTTTCTCTAGCTTACTTCATTATAAGAATCAACATATAATATATGAAATATACAAAATATGTGTTAATCAACTATGTTATCAGTAAGGCTTCCTGTCAGTATTAGGCTATTTGCAGTTAGGTTTGGGGGAAGTTATACACGGACTTCTAATTGCCTGGAGGGAAAGAGTGTCAGCAACCTTTATCTCTGTTATTATTCAAGGGTCAACTACATAACTGTCTTACTTCACAATCACATAAATAAAATAGAATTTCCAGATGGATGACAGATACTAGTAAAATAAACGCATATAAATGACAGGGGAACATATAGAGGCATATTTTATAATTTGGAGGCATAGGGTAAGTTTTCTAAGCTATAATTTTTTTAAAAAGCAAGAAATTTAAAAGAAACATTTGATGGTTTATTTAATACAGAAATTTAAAATCCTGGCAAAATGAAAAAGCACAAAAAAGGAATGATACCAAGGAAATCAAGGCAAAAGACAAACTGCAGGAAATATTTCCAGCATATGTGATAATCGAGGTATGAGCGAGGGAGACTCCCAAACACATACAAAACACACACAGCCAATGACTACATGCAGAGATCGTCCACTAGTGATCAAGGGGTACAAATTAAAACACAGAAAATCGTCCACATAAGAGACTGGCCAGGACAGAGACCGACACAACCACGGGTGGAGGTGAGATGAGGATACAGCCCCTGAGGGAAAATAACTGACAAGGGCTGTCTGCAGCGTGGCCTGACAGTGTGTGTGTGTGGCAGTGTAAGATGTTCCCTGTTGGTGCAGCAATTACATTACTAAGCATTTGCTTAAGATAATGCCACAAGTATAAAAAATAAAATAAAATAAAAATGCATGCCCGGGACTATTCATATGAGTAGTGGTTTTTGATCGGGGGAAAAAAATTGAAACAATTCTAAATGTCCACCAACTAGAGACCCATAAAGTAAAATTTATGACCCTCGCATATGAGGAATGCCTTCCGGTCTTTAAAAATGACAACAATTGACATCTACTGTTTTGGACCAGGACGTGTGGCAAAGCAGTGAGAATCACAGAGCCTGGAGTCAGCCCGCCTGCTTCATGACCAGCACCACTTCTCACGGGAGGGGTGATCTAAGCAAGCTGCAGAACCTGTCTGTGCCTCAGTTTCCACTCTGTACAAGGAGGACAGTGTGTACCTCTTCAAGTTGCTACGAGAATTCAAAGCGCTGTTACTCATGGAGGACAGCATCTGTAACATAAAAAGTGCTAGAAAACAGCTTGTGAAATAAAAAATATTGTCATGAAAAATTTATCTGCCACATTAGTGAGTGAAAAAAAATCACAAAATATTACCTATGATCCCATTTTTGAAAAATGCATATGGATGCACACAGAGTAGAGGAAGTCATTCTTTTTTACAGCCACTGTAAGTCATTATGCCTACATAGTGAAACTTTGGTTTATTTTTACTTTTTTCTGAGTATTTTTCTGTGTCATCACAGGTATCAAAAAGGAAAACAAACAGAAGTGATAATACTTAATAGGCACTCTCAAGACACGTTTGGAATCTAAATTGGTGTAAGCTTGCTGGGGAGAAATCTGGCAACGCGTAATACACTTTCTGATGTAGCAGTCTACCTCCAGGAATTTCTCCTACAAAAATAACAACAAAGGTCTGAAAATATGTATACACACCCACACAAATACATACGTATACATATGTACCCACACAGAAATATGTACATACACGTACACTAACAAATACATACATATACACATACATACCCTTATAGGAATATTTATTAAAGCAATATTGATAACAGAAAAAAAACTGATAAAAATCTAGGTTTTTATCAATTATACCACAGTTGGTATATTCCACAGGGCACTGAAAAATGGTGCCATCACACCACATGGAAAGACCATTCTGGGAAGGCCTCGAACATGCAGGTGAAGACTTTCCACTTGACTGTTGCAGGGGGAGACAAAGGACTGTGCTTTAGAGAGATGCCCTGAGGGCAGTGCAGACCAGGGGACAGCCTCAGAGCCAAATGACCTTCTCAGTGTGTCCTTTTGATTCTGAGTCTCAAAGTCAGAGTGAGCCCTGAGGTCTGGAGAAAAAGGAAATAGCAATATTTGATATTGAAAAAAAGCAAAATCCCTGATTTCTAGCCATAATTGTACAGAAGGTCCAGGAGTTTCTCAAAAGGAAACTGATAAAAAAAAAAATTCCATGAAAGCACAAAAACAAAAGAAATTCTCGAAAAGACAGTACCAAATGATCTGAAGAACTCAGAAGTACAAACAGCAGAGCTGCCTCGATGGCTGGAGCTGCCCTTCTGATTAAAATGTGATGCCATTACCTAGCTGTGTTAGAAAAAGAGAGTGTGGGGGGTGTGTGTGTGGAAGAGACAGAGGGAGAGCAGGGGAGACACTCCGTAACCCAAATCCAGTGATTAACAACTGCACTGGAAAGTGGAGCTTCAGGTTCAGGGAGGTACAACCTAAACCTTCCTCTTTCAACCATCTCATTTCTAAAATTATCTTTATTTGCCAAAAGAACTTGGCCTCAGAAATCCCAGCAGTCCCTCCCTGTACGTCTCAAGTAGCCTGTATTCCAGAATCCATTCTTAACTAGAACTGCCTCCTATATAACGTGCTTAGCTCAGCACAAAAAAGAAAGAACTTCTTCAACATGAGGCTCAGTCTGAAGACTTCAAAAACGGTACAAGGACCGTACAACAGAGCAGAGCCCACGCCAGAGGTGCTCGGTACAAGGACCGAACAACACAGCAGAGCCCACGCCAGAGGTGCTCGGTACAAGGACCGAACA